CTATTCCCTAGGATTCTAGTGCCTTTCGAGGGTTCTGCTTCGGTTTTTGGGTCATTTTCCTGATCATTCTCATTCATATCAAGCCCTAGAGGTCCAGTGATGTTCCATCGGCTTGGGGTTGGGGTGTCTGGTACCTCCAGGATTTCCGTGAGCTGGCTTACCGCGTGGCCGTTTGCCGGGGGTGACGCGTGAATAACACCACCACCATGGGGATCGGGAGGTTCCATGGTGGTTTTTAGGGGCTCAGAGGCCTCTCTGAGCCGAATGACGCGCTAAAAAAGACGTGTTTTTTTGTATCCTTCACACTGTTAGCTTAGTTGTGGGGTTGTTTTTCTTCGTCTACCCTCAATTCGTGTCTGTGACATTCATCCATTCATTCACTTACCTTACTCACCCTGCTATTGCCTGCTGCAGTGCTCCCCTAGTAATGACCGTCTTTTTTGAGGGGAGGGGAGCCAAAACTGGCTCCCCTCTATAGTGCAATCATTCGCTGCGATTCTGCGTGCCTCTTTTGAGCACTATGCCCGTTCTATTTAAGAATGCTCATCCCAGCTCTGGAGGAACAAATGTTCCTCTTCCTCTAGTCCTGACTGCTGGACACCCTTCTTGTCACTTATCTATACAGCCTTCCTCCCATATGACTAGTTAGATAGAGTTTCCCTTGTCCTTTAAGACTCCTGTTTCTTGTCTCGCTTGCTCTTGTAGTTCACTCTTTGTTCCTGCCCTTTAGCACCCCGGGATTGAAAGGCCTCATAGTAATCATGCCTCGTGACTTTGAGTCCGATAAGCATGTCACTCTCTCTGATAACGAGAGCGATGCCAGGACCGACCTCCCAGACATCTTCTCGAACAATCCTTCCAATGATTCCTCCGACAGTGATACGGAGCCAAACCGTGACGATTCAGATGATGATTCGGATGACAGTTCAGATGATGACGCCTTCTACGACGATGAAGAGCAGCATCCCCCGGAGTACTACCTCGTGCCACGGCGTGGCTCCTAGGGAGCATTCTAGGAGCCATACCGCTGCACTACCGGCAAAAGACTAGGATACGAAGCCATAAGTCTTCGTACTGCTCTTGCTTATATAGCTTCTTGCCACGCTGTCACACCTCGCGGAGGCTGACCGTCTGGATGTCTCCCAGCTCCGACAGCAACGGTATAGTCCTAAGACTCAGAAGAAGCTGGAGGAGACAAGGGACTATTAGGACCGGTAAGAAGCATAACTTCAGCGTCATGTTCCATTGAAGCTAATATCGCCTACTTTGTGTCTGGCCAGATTCTGTCGATTTCAGAGCTGTGATCCTGTCGAGTGCTTCTACTCGCTCTTTGAGCCTGAGGAGACTGTCCGATACCTTAAAGGCTTTTTCAGCTAGCATTGTAACCAATAATGGGGCAAGAATGGATACAGGACTCCTGGAATCAAATATAAGAGCTCATTAGAGACCTTCTGGAAGTATTGGCATCTAGTCTATAAGCATGAAGTCGGGCACAGGCTCGACAAGATGACCATTATAAAGGTAGAGGATGTAAGCAATAGTTCTTATCCTCCCAGGATGCTAGGCCCTGGCTGATGATCAGTAGGTACTTATGATTGTTGCAAAAGAAAAGAAGCTCCTCTTTGAGCGCTAACTAAAAGCAACCATATATATCAAAAGATATGGTAGAGTTTGCCTGAGTTCTTCTTATAATAACTAAGATGATATTTACCTATAGCTGGCTCCAGATCGAGCTGCTGCCCTTCTGCCAGCTGGCCACCATTACTGGTAGCCATCTATAGATGCTGTTGGACCTTTGCTATCGGTACCTCCAGTTAAACCTGATCCGTGATCCAGATGGGGGGCATCCTTAACTGTTCATTTACCTAATACCAGAGTTTACAGAGACGTTTCTGGGCAAGAAGGAGCTGTGTATTACCCTCCTCCTCCTCCTCCTCCTCCTCCTCCTCTTCCTTTTTTTTGTTGTTTGTGATCTCCTTGCTGTCTCCTACTGGTCGGCTAAATTTCTATTGGTTCACTAACCTGCTCTTCTGAGCAGTATTAAGAAAAGGGGAGGTCTCCCATATGGACCTCGGGCTGATTATACTGAGCAGGAATACTTTCCCTATCCCTGAGATCATCTATGACCCGACCTTGGTCCTTAGCCCCTACATCTTCCTCCTAGGCATGTTATTCCAGATTGGAGCCTTTAAGAATATATCCGTTAACAGCCCAGTTATAAACTGCCCAGAGAATTTATACAGCCTTAGCATTTTATTTAAATGGGCTCAACTAGCAGGAATTGAAGTTAAAGGATGAGATATTAGATCAGTTTGTGATCTGCCTGGCAATTCAGGAAGTAGATAGGGTTGATTACTGTTGATTAGCAACTATCGTTGGCAACCGTCTGGTACTGGATAAAATGGGGAGGTGAAATTATAGGCTTTGAACAGGTTATAAAGCCATATGGCCTTTAATATGGAGCAGCTAAGGTATTCAATGATAGCTGTAAGCTTCCCCCTGCCCTATTTCTTTGCATCTTAGCAAGTATTGCTAATAGGAGTATCTGGTTAGATAGCAGATATAATAGATGAGCTCCAGAATGTGATATTGCAGTATGCCAGTATTAATACCTTTATTCGATAGTATAGTGTGGGTATCCATATTGATGCCCAGGTAATTATCTGTGGGCTACTATAAGAAAATCAATTAATGCATTTTGCATGTTCTATAAGCTGGTTGATTGCGTCGAGGCCCATAGCCAGACCTCGCTCCTCTTACATGCTCTTGCTTTTCTCATTGCGCGTTTACTTGTGATAGATCATAGCACTGCACAGCCAGGGCAGGACTCTGGAACAGTACCATTTACATGCTCTCTGGTGCACAAGACACATTTTGCTTGTCGATGTCACATCGATGCTTTCTACGTATACCTCTTTTTTCATTCAGTTTATGTGACAAAAACTCCTTTCCAGTCTTGTTGTGTTTTGTGTTCTTATCTAGATTTCAATCAGTTCCTTTTTTCCCCTTCAACGACACAGATTTGAGGATAGGAATCCAAGTAGCTTAATGTCTGTCAATGAAAAATGAGTGATCTTTTTCTCATCTTAAAATCAAATTGAGACGCAGACATTCGATCCCTTGCAATAAGTCCCATGAATCTGATAAAATGGCCACTGACTCATTTTTCTCTGTGAAGTATAAAGGATGTTGATGTTTGACCCATTTCCCGCGGCACTTTAATGAGTATGACTTGTTATGTTTGTCTTAATGTAGAGGCTCCGGAACTTGTGCTATATCGTAGTACATGTCAGGCATAATACAGGTTGAGATGTTATATGTAACCACTGTGGGTAGGAATGCATTTAAAATCATGTATAATAGGCAAGAGGGCCTGGATGGAAGTCAAAAGCACTCATTCGCTGAGGATGATATTACATGATTTGACAATGCCCAACCATACCCCGCACTTGGTCACACTAACAACTGGGATGAGCACAAAACCATCTTAACAAGCGCGTTGCCGGCAGTAATTTAATCTGGCTGAGCGATGAACATCAAATAGGCCTATTACTTATACACCTAAATCCCCATCGCTGCAAGACTATATCTTATTACTGGTGTCCTGTCCTTACCTTGTCAGATGGTGATCCCCTTGCCATACAAACTGCTCCCTTATTTGTTCACTTTACATTTTTTTCCATGGCGTAAGTGCTTTCTGTTGCTTCCAGCTTGGTAGCGCTAGCTGGTTTTGCCCTCCAGACCAGAAGTCGCTCTACCAAGTAGTTGAAAGCTTCAAGAGCACTAAACGGACGATCCGAGAACTCCGAGAAGAGCTCGAGGCCCTGAGTCAAGCTCTTGATGCACTACAACAGGTGACCGCAGATAACGAGGCTACGTTGGTTGCATTGAAGCTACCTTTGCTGCGGTGCGGGTAAAATTTGCCGGGAATTCGAAGATGTGATCAATAGATGTGCAGCACATTTAGACAGGCAAAGAACAAGTTTTCGTGATTGGGCGAGATTGCAGTATATTTGGGGGGGGGGATATCACGAACCTCAAGATCACACTAGCAGGTTACAAGGCTACCATCAGTATTGCTCTAAGGGGTGCAACCTTGTATGTTTCACTGTGTCGAGCGCAATGATCGTGGGCTGACCAGGTTCTACTCATGTCATCTAGTCGCCAAGCCGCTGTCACCATCAATGTTCTTAATGAATACAAGCAGATGATCGCGGAAGCAACTTCCGATCTCCAAGATCACTTACAAGAAATGGAAGAAAGGGTGAAGACACTCCAGTTACCTGACGGACCTGTTCAAAATACGGATATTTTGGAGCTGAGAGAAATTAAAGAGGAAAAGGAAAGCACAGAGCAGTTTCTCGTGATCTGTGCCCAGGTCTCTAATTATATAGAGGGCATCCCACCGCGCCTCCCACGCGATAGCCATGCTGATGGAAGGATACTCCTGGAACATGAAACGGCTGCTGGTTCCGATCCTCACCGAGCGCAGAAGATGACAGGCACCATACTCGCAGACTTCAAAAGCAGACTTGCTACAAACTCGGCAGAACTTAAGGCCCGGCTGAAGGAGCCGAATGACAGATTAAAAGCCCTTTCACAACAGGGTGTGGAAATATCGAATGAAGGTGCTGCCGAGCTAAAATACATCAAGGAAGAAAAAGACAGCGTTGCCCAATGTCTGGCAATTTGCGCCGACACGTGTAATCTGGCGGAAAGTGCCCGGACCAATGAATTCGAGGATATCGTTTCAGCTGACAATTCGCATCAACTGGTTGTGTAAACCATCGGAGATCTAATATCGGCAACGCATATAATCACTGGGTCTGGATCAATACAGTGGCTAGGGCAAATGTCAGATGAAACACTTCAACAACTTTCCCGGGTTCGCAGTGATAGGGAAAAGGAGGAATTGCAGTTGCAGACAGAGCAGGATGGATTTCAGAATCGATATGGTGCGGGATATCAGCTTCGTACTCAGCTGGCTCGAACCCGTGCCTCTGCCATCCGGGCTTTACGGAGGCAGGTCTGGTAGTGGGTCTTTAGGGTCAGCCTGTATCTAGCCATATGCCTAGCCATCGAGTAGCATCCTGGTTGAATGAGACCTGATGAGCTCCTATAGATATCCTTGCCCGTTGGACCTGAGCCCTAAGTTCCCGGCCTCGTTTCCGGGTAAATAGGGTCGCCTCTGTCTTCTCGGCATCGAACTGGACTGTGTTAGCCTGCCCCCAGGTTATGGCTGCTTCCCCTGCCTGCTGAAGCTGCCTGCAGGCTTGATCCACTGAGTTCCCCAGGGCTATAAGGCCTATATCATCTGCAAATGATAAGGCCCTTATCCCAGGGACTGCTGCCTCTACGGCTTCAACGACCCCACTTATATAGATCACGAAGAGGATTGGGGAGACTGGGGAGCCCTGGGGGACCCCTGAGCTAATAGGGTTCTCTAGGCCCTGATGGCCATCAATCACTAGCTGGACCCTCCGATCCGCTAGGAATGACCGTACCCAGCGGGTTAAATCCCCATCAATCCCTAGCTCTGCCATCCTCCTAACCAGCCTAGCTGGGTCGACATGGTCGAAAGCCAATGCGTTCAACCAGACATGAGTATAGTAAACTCTTCTGTTATTACTAGCTACGTTTATACCACCTTATGTTCGTCATCTGAAGAGTCAAGAATGAGTAGTCACAATTCCTCGTTAGTACTACTATACTAATAATAAAACTAGGAGAATAGAGGATAGCAGAGTCTGCAGAATGCAGCTAGGCCTTCTTCAACGGCTCGAGAGGGCAATCCCCATACGGGGGACCGTAGACAATGTAGTTGGCCTCCATACCCTTAGCGAGATGTGTGTTAAAATGGCAAATCAATTGCCACCATCCGGGATTGGATGCAGTCAACCAGTAAGTCTGCATCTGGCCCGGATTCATGGTGACGGTGGCAGTAGTGGTATTGCTGACAGGGTCGTAAACGTTCTCACCATGCATATGGAAGACATGTGTGTCGAAACCCATGTCATAGATGTACCAGATGACGCTGTCTCCGACACACATTTCGAAAGGAGGATTGTTGGCATAGATAAAGCCGTTGATCTGGAGATCCCACATATGTCAGTAATTGTTCGCTTGAACATACGAAAGCATAGAGCGAAGTGACTTACAGGGAAGAAATTGGCCGCCATTCCACTCGTGACATTGGTCTTTGGTGTATTGATGAATTGAGGATACCAAATGCTACGATTTGCAGCCTCAGAACTCAGGTCGGGGTACTGATACGACAAGTTCGCGACCTGCGAAGCCATTCCAGGGAGGTATTTGCGGACGTTGTGCAAGGCGAGGAAGGAGTTGCTTTCCTGGTTGTCGGAATAAAGAAGGACAAATTCACGGTTCTGCGACATCACGCTCTCCATCTTCCCCGGATTGTAGATGATAACAGGCCCGAACCCGCCCGCGTCCTGGTCTTGGTACATGCTGACGTACGGGTGGTAGGAAAAGAGTCTGCTCTCGAGGCCATGATTAGGAGCAGAGACTGGTGTAACGAGCCTATTCAGAGCATATCACTGTGAGCCAAGTCGAACCATGATGCCACGGAACTTGAGAACAAGTCAGAGACAAAAGGCCAAATACCATTTATAGACAAAGCATCCTCCAGGAGGAACAGCGTCTCCAATGGTAACACTGCTGGTCCCATTGTAGTATACGCTTCCTTCAGAATCCTTGGTGTAAAAAAGTCCCATGCTATGCATGCTCGAGAAGAACTCATCCATCTTGTTGACGAACATGATCTGCTGAAAGTTAGCATGCTGACGAGTACATCAAGGGAGCATGACCAACCTCGATCATATCTCCGACTTCAGCGCGAAGTATCGGCCCCTGGAACCCCAGCCAGTCAGGATTTTCTGTTCTCTCCTCAAAGGTGGCATCTGTGTATCCAAAGTATAAAGCCTTGTCGTACTTCGTTCCGATGCTAGTGTTGGATGCGATGTATCCCCAAGTCTGAGCGCGGAAGGATTTATTCATCGGTACACCGAGCCAGTTGTCCCAGCCTATTGTCCAGAAACATGAGCATTGAAACAGAAGAAAGAAGGAAAGAGAGAAGGCAAACATACCTGACGGTGCATAATCCCAAGGCTCTACTTCAGCCGCCACATAGTATCGACGCACAGTACCTGAGAACTCGAAATCCGGCGGATAGTAGTACGGCAATTCACCATTCAATCGGGCTTTACATTCGGCCCATTGGTCCCCGTCATGGAGGGAATTGGTCGTGGATGACGGGGCTGCGAGAACGCCAGCGGCGGCCGCGAGGAAGGAAAAAGAGAGTGAGAAGAGTAATGAATACATTGCTGATAATGTGAAGCAGACTTATTTCGAGACTCCAATGACTACTGGTGGCGTGGAGAGCAAGAATGACAAAGCCTGTAGAGAGAGTTAGAATTAGTCTGTGTTTTGAGAAGTGTTCAGGGGGGAAGACTAATCTTTTATCTCATACACGCAGCGGGAAAGAGCAAGGAGCATATAGAGAGGTCGCATTAGACAGACACAAAAGGGACAGGTCTGTTCTTCTGTGGAACTTTGATTGCCATCGTCCCTTCCCATTGAATGTTTCGAGTTGATAGTCAAGAAGGTTGACTTTTCTGTATGTCAAGCATTTGCGTAGAAAATGTAGGTGTGTATAGTACTGAATTGGACCACATTGTCATTAACCATGAGCCTGAGGCATCAGGACAGTATACAATGCGTCCATACTACTCTGTTCATATAACTACAAACACACCTCTTCTTCCACTGAGAGCACTTTCTGAACCAAGTTATGGACAATCTTCTTTGGAGAGGTTTGAATCTGATTTCTGTGTCTACGTGTAAAGAGAAAAAGAGGGACTTGGCTACGAGTACAGACCTACATTAAGAAATGAGCTTTCAGGGCAATTGCATAATCGTAGGACAGATTTGAGGATTATGAGATAGGTGAGTAGAAGAGTCTCATCCTTGAAGTGACAGATGGAACCCACTGGTAGAACGCTGGAATTTCTCTTATCAATTGGAAACGAGACATCCACACTCCAAGGAAGGCATAACGCATCAATGATGGGTAGATTCATGTTGTGATACCTACATAGTACTTTCCAACATGGATGGTTCACCTTGACGATACCCTCAGGTAGGGTTGCACAGAGTATCCTGCATTACAGCATCAGGCATTCTTCTTCCTTATACAGGTAGGGATGGATAAAGTCTTCCCCTATATCCCCATGAATAACATCTTGGATAGCACGTCGCCTTTTATCACTCCAGCCTGTTCTTTCAGATACTTTTTCATCAGGAACTGGCACTAACTGTGATCTGCACTAGTGTTTGGACTTGAAGTCCTGATCACCTTCCCAGATGTTCTCTCCTTCATGTAGTTACCCCTTGTTCTGTAAGGCATAGATTGTTTACTGTCTCAGTTGTGGAACAAGAAGCCTAGTTGCATTCGACTTCATAAATGGGATGAGGGAGTCAGGGCCACCCCTGGGACAACTTGTGGAGGATTAGTCGCCCCGCATATTGAGGAGATAATTTAGCATAACTTATGCAAAAATGTCTTCAGTTCTTGGCACCTCCCACTCAAAAATACAAGAGTACTCCAAAACGTCAACACCACATTAATCAGTCAAATCAATGCTCATTGACGCGTCGTCTATCTCCACCAGCCGTCCAGCGAAGCAGACATTGTCTGTGTTCATCATGCGGCATTTTCTTCATTGGCCATATCCCAAGATCCATTCCTTCCTACTTCTTTGTTTTACCATTTAATGGTATGACTGCTAACTACCGACATTTTATTGCTGGTGACTAACATTTTATTACTAACTCCATATATTTTATTGCTAACATAGTCTTCTGTAGAAGTCTTCTTGCTTGTTGAATGTAAAGTACGAAAAGAGCTCTTCTATAGTCCGTTCTGAGCCTTTGATGTTGATTTCTCGTAGTCGTCCTCAGTCTACGTAAATGACACATGCTGTGTGGTGTGGAGCCGATATTAGATCCAGGAGGCTCAAACGAGCCTCTTTCAAGTTGCACATTTTTACAATTAGAATATGAGTACCTGAGAAGTACCTGAGAAATCGATGCCGAAAATGACCGCCAGTGAGGCCCGTTCACGGCGTCATTTACACATCCCGCCTTCCAGGGCAGTCTTGCCGCCGTAAGGAATAACCACATGACTGAAGAGTGACTGCACACTGAGTTGCACCCGTCAAGCTCTCTCTGCTAGACACAGCGTAGGCCACCATCTCATCGTTGGTCACCTCTCCTCGCGCTTCCTCCAGTGTCGCCCCACAAGGCACCTTTGGAGGTCATTTTCAGCACCCTTCTATTTTTCTTTACCGTCTCGGCTCAAGGCCACGGTTTCAAATATGGAGTCCAAGGCTGTGTCTTTCTGCTCTCTCATAGCTATAAAGATAGACTTATCTTGGAGGGTTGGATATTTTTGAAATGGGAATGGGACAGGATCGAGTCGGCCGTAGCAGTGTTCAACGAACCTAAGACTACATTAGAGCCTGAACTGAATTGAAAAGAAATCTCTTTACCTTGCGTGTAATGCTGAAGGGAACATGCAAATCACCTGGCCGCCCTCAACTACTTCAGTATGCACCCAGCCATTTCTGAAACAAGTTTCGATTCCCGGGTCGTCATTGTTGAACGTGACGCTCCCGTCCCGCAGAACATTGAGAAGTACGCAGACAACATTCGGATCGATAACACCGCGTTGGATAGTTTTTGAAGGCAGAGACCTGCCAGCCGGCTGGACTTCAAGGAACGAGAAGAGTTTATCGTCGTCGTCTAAAGCATCCCGGATATCTTTCAGAGTGATTTTCGATATGCGATGTTGTTTTAGATGAGATCGGTGAAACTATATTATTAGCAAAAGTCCTCGATTTAGAACTTCCAAAGGTTATGTTGCACATACATTACGGATATACACCATAATTGAACTGATTGCACCAGGGTGGCCATTTGTCAGCGAGAAGAGATAATCTTTTACGTCTGTATCAAGTGTAAACTCGATAGCTGGATGCTTGCAAAATCTGTCTAGGACATCCTTATACTCAGCCAAGTTGTAGAAAAGACAGATATCTGGCGCGTCTGAATTGCGAGACACTGTGAGGGAGACTCGTTGGCTCAAGGAAAGGACTGGCGGCGTTGTAGCTTCAGGGTAGTCAGGGGCACCTATTGTTGGGCTGCCATAAGAACTGAAAAGGCAGAAACGAGGGCCTGCTTGCCGCTGGCTCTGAAACTTGATCACGCTATACCACAGATGGGGATTGACGTAGGTCTGCTGCGCTTCGTCTATAATGAAGACGAAGTTACTTGCTAGGATATCAGATGCCTGCACCCCGATATAGCCGCGGTCACGACACTCCTTTGCGAGGTACTCTGTCGCAGACATCTTATTATCCCAGGTATCCATGAGTATAACTTCTTGCTTCTCAGCGAGGAACTGGTATAGAAGTCTCGCAAGAGTTGACTTCCCTGATGCAGGCGTACCTCGCACATGCATCACCATGTTCTCATCAAGGAGACGGGCAAGTGTCTCGACGGTTCGATGCCGTGGGCATAGGTCAGGATGTTCCGTGAAACACAATGACTGGGAAGCAGAATGCTGTTTGCGAGGAGATGATGTCACTGATGCAAGGCCATGGCCTAATGCAGTTGAAAGATGAGGTCGTGCTATAAACAAGCATCAGAATTCCAACTCGCCATGAGTCGAGGGGAACAATAGTGTTACCGTAGTCAGCATGCACAGATAGAGAATGCTGACAGTCTGCGCATAACGCGTTCATTTCGATCGCTCCAGTGCTCGAAATATAGGACGCAACTTCACATGGACATTTATATCGTCCATTTGCACTTGTGAAGGTACACCCTCCTAGAGTCATAAGGACTGTCTTCTTTTCCCGTTGATTGTCTTGCCGAGTTGATGGTTGCGGAGGTGAACTTGATTGAGGTAGGAAATTGGTGACTTTCCCAAGCCAAGTAGACATGATTGGTGCTTGAAACTTGTGCAAAAGACCTGGAATCACAGGAACGAAAACAGTAAGAAGGATTAAGGCCTTTCCATTAATCGGGCAGGTGCCAAGAGTGTTGATTGGACGCGGAAGATATGAACATAACTCATGACTCCAATTTTCCCTGTGGGTTTCGCCTATGCTAGTAATCGCTAGTGAGTCGAGTCAAAGCAAGGAAACTGCGAAGTGGATGTTGGATCCCAACCTGGGGACCTCGAGGATAGCCTAGGCAACAAGATAGAGTGGATGACGAATGGATCAACTGGGAAATCCCGTCCCAGGCGGTGAGGCACGTGACAGATTCCTCCAACAACAAAGGACCTGTTCCTGGGACCCGGCCTAGTGTAATACCGTGCAGGAAAGATTGATAAAATACCCTGTAAACAAGAATTGTGAGGAAAGAGCTATGCAGCAGACCATTCAGAACTGCTACCACCAAGAGCAAATGCCGGAAGTGTCTCTTCGCCACAGCCGTCTGCTGGAAATGATTTCCAGATAGGACCAATGAAGCCCTTACTCCAGCCGCCTGTAATACTCATGGAAACAGATCCAGAATAAAATTAAAAAGCTTCGTCAGTTCTGTTGGCTACGAGCCAAAGCTCATTGGAAGGAGAAAGAATGGAAATGAAGCCTAAGAATCACTATATTCTTCTTATCTTGATATCTCCTTAGGTGGTGAGAGCGAGGTGGGCGAAACCCCCTAGCGATCAGCTCCTGGTCGACGCCGGATCAACTATGATCCGGGCCACGTGACGCGGGAGGACGGGCGACGAGACGGACAGGCGACGCATGGCGACGAACCACAAAAATGAAGGGACTGGTACAGAATAAAGGACGGGAGAATGAAAGAGTGGGAGGGGGCATGGTTAGAACAGCGAGAGGTCGCAGTCTTATGTGTGGGCGACGGCAAGGCGGTGTTACCGCCAGGCTTACGGGGGGCACCATGCCCGAAGGGGCGAAACTAACCCAGAGGCGTAATTCCCAGGTCCTCGTCTTACATCTGAAATAACGAATCATCTTGGAGAATGGCGAGCTACATATTACATCTATTTTTTTTTAGGGAGGCATTGCCACTGGCCCTTCTTGCTGCGGTTCGTAATTACTCTCTGCTGGCAACTTTCTGCTGGCAACTTTCTGCTAGACACTCTATCTTTCTTGCACGTTCCTGCTTGACTTTTCATTCATATTATACTACTGATATTTCTGTCCCTCATAGAAGGTTCCCACTGTTGACTGGTCTATAGCATAACCCACCTGTATATAGATATTAGCTACTAAGCCCTACTGCCTAGGTAGTGTTATGGACCAACAAGAAATGACGCTGTCCAACACAGCAATGCAGGATGAAACTAAAACCCCGCAAGGCAGCAACAGGGCAAGCACAAGATCACGTGACCAGTATACCAGTATACCAAGAAGAACGGACTGGTATGATGGTATGATCTACCAAAGGAATATACCAGATGGAAGGTATGATGAGGAAGTATGATGACAAGGTTATAAAAGGAAGAAGAATTCTGGTCATGTATTTAGTTCTTTCCTTACTCGCGCTCAATTCATTCATCCAATACAACTCGTTACTAAGATACTTACTCTGGGGGTCAGTAAGACTTCTTACTACTAGTGGTATACTTCGGTATAGCTCTAGTAGGCGTTGCCTCTGACCTAGTCGTTGTTGTTATTCTTACTTTGGAGAGCTTCTACTTATTGTGTGTCCCTGCAAGACCCCTTTTACACTTGTGAGAGGTCGTTCGAGGAAGAGCCCTTCGCCAGGTAGGCCGTTGTCTCAAGGAGAGGAGACCCGGGTCAGTTAGACCGTCGCGTGCTCGTGAACGACATAGAGTCAGAAAGACTCCTTGATCCTTCCCTAACCACCACTGTTAAGTATCGACGACTACGGTTGGACCCAGCGCGTAACAAAAACGCTCTCTAAAATGGAAGAATAATAATAATAATAATAATGATACCACAGATGACTGGACTATAGCCTAACCAATTTCTGCATGTATTTAGTCACTCGCTACTAAGTCCTATTGCTTAGGTAATAGGCAGACCGTGCATAGTCTTTGACTGAAAAACGGTCTCTAAAATGGAAGAATAATAAATAATAATAAGGACTTGGGATTAAGAGGGACGCACATCAGCTTTATATGCGCGCCCTCAGTGAGTTGCGATGTAGGGAAAGCGGCAAGAGGGCGCACCATGCCGAATGTGGAAGCGCTAAACCAGATCGGGAGGGATCAATCCCAAGAGGGCAGGCAGTGAAGCGGGTGGAGGAGCGCGGTTGGTAGACGGCCGTTTCCGGCGCCCCGCTAACCGTGTCATCGTATACTAAAATATTTTTTTAAAGCAAAAAAAAATACACTTTATATCTTTTTTTCTGTTAACTATATTTTTTAATATCCATTAAAATTTATCAACCCTCTTCTGTCTGATATATCTGGTTAGTGAGGAAAATTCTCAGCCTGGACCAGTATAAGGACTTAATCTGTAGAATTCTACTATGAAATCTTGCTTTCTAGAGGTATATAGTATGTGATATAACACTATCAGGTAAAGAAGCTTTCTTGACGTTATTTGTTTATCTGTTCGTCCTGAGAGTGCTGAATGCTTAAATGAATTGTCATTTACACAAATATATACTACCGAATCTCAATATTAGTCTCCTCCGCTTCATTCAAGCCGCATTATGATGCCCTCCTTTTCGCCGCCTCCTCTTCAATCCACTTCGCCGCTTGATCCTTCCAGCTAGCCTCCCACCGCGACAGCGCCGGCCGACCCTCAATCACATCGTCGCTCCCCCACCGCATGCGCGCCTGGTCCAGCGCCGCATCCGTCTCGCCGTCAGGACACACGATATAAAACGAGCCCTTCTCGAGGGCGCGCGCACAGTAATCAGCCACCTGGCTCGGATACCAGGCACCCGCGGGCTTGTTGACGACATCCTTCTCGTCCGTCGGCCCGACGTTGCCCATCAGGCCCGTCCAGGTCCAGCCCGGGATCAGCAGATGCACCGAGATGTGCGCCGTGGCTGGGTCG